CTGGCCGTGGAGGTATTCATCAAATTTTTACGTTGTGTCAGATCCTTGAGCTGCATTACACCCACCGTCGGCCAACGGTCGCAGTATTCCTTGACCTGAAAGGAGCCTTCGACTCGGTTGACCGCGAAGCTCTGATGGGCTCCCATCAGAAGAAGGTTAGCCTACTGAGGTCCCTGTACTCGCACCTGGTCGTGTAAGGATCTATGATGAACTAAGGAGGCTATTTGCCACCAGCAGCGGCGTTCGTCAAGGGTGCCCTCTCTCGCCGTTCCTGTTTAATTTCGTCGTAGATGAAATACTGAAGAGCGCATTAAGTGGGCTCCAAAGCGTAGGTATTCAATGGGCAGCTGGAGAAGAGCTGTGCGATTTAGAGTACACCGATGACATCATCTGTCTGTTCGAATGTATGGTGGACGCGCAAAGCGCACTTGATAGGCTAACAAATGCAGTAGCCACATTCGGTACGTGATTTGCGCCTTCAAAGTGTAAAGTGATGCTGCAGGACTGGGTTTCGTCTACTCCTGCTCTGAAACTAAGTGGCCAGGATTTAGTTGTGGTGCATTACTTTTCCTACTTGGGTAGTTGCTTGACCGATGACGGTAGTGCAGCAAGTCAGTATACAGCTATCGCACCATGTAACCTGCATTATTCTTACCCTGATAACAGCGGGGTGATGGGTGAGAAGAGTGTAAATTCTATTCACCAAAGCAATCTTTCCCAGATAGCTCATTCAATTAATCTCCGGGCATACTCACGTCACGGTAGTGAGATCGGGAAGATATATATGCACAATCTAGAAAGAGTTTTAACAATATATTCAAAATATCCGACAAAAGCACTCGAAATAAATCAACTGTCCGATGTTTTACCGAGGTGTTTTTCCTAGCCCCGTTCCCACAAAGATTAGTGCTAGATTTATGTCTTCTAGTCCTTTTCGTACGTATTCTGATCGTCAATTCAGGGAGCCCACTTGTCATCTTCCAAGAGGTAGTCCTGTAATAATAAATTAGCATTTTAAAGGGAACTGGTTAGTGGTGGGAACACAAGCTGTCGCTGTTCCACATTGAATGAACTGATTTGCAACTGTTGACTTCAGCTGTTCAACTCGGGTTGTCACAGTTCGTCTGTTTTCCGGATCACGTAGTCTCACTGTGAAGCCACTTGCTTGCATTTTTGTTTTTACAAATTTAAATCCGCTATACACATTCGAGATTGAAATCCAAGCGGTCCACGATTGACTGGGCGATTGTTTAGCTTTGTTTGTTAATCGTGCCGCGCGTTTCACCTAGGAGGTTCAGTGTACAGGATTCTTCAATTCGTTTCACCAATCGACCACTGTGTTCCAATTTGACTTTCAGAGACTATCCCAGCTGATGCAATCCGTGCTAACATATGCGTTCAATGGACTATCAGATCCATCCGGTGCGTATTTTGTGCCTCCGGAGAACCAAGTACGAAGAATGAGCAATCCGTCCGTATCTTGGGTCAATCCTTCTACGAGTGAGGACTGGAGTAATCCATCCACAAATTTAATGGTATCAGGTCGTGCGTCACAGGATTGGCTTCCGGTAGCACCGTTTGGCCCCGTGGCACCGGTGATGTCACCTTCCTCATCGTCATCCACTTCTTCGTCCGCACATCGTTACGGTCCACGGGCCGAACCACCACCACCACCACACGACGGTGCAGTGTCAATCGCAGTTGATCGCGGTCACGCGAATTTGGTCGATCTTACTGGACCGTCTGATAGACCACTAAAGCCCGATTTCTCTATCCCCACCTATCCACTGAATCACCCTTCTGGATCTACTTGTTCCACCCAAACTTTGGCCTCATCAACTTGCCGTATGCCGGAAATGGATTTGCCTAGTGAACCATGCCCTCCCTGTTTTCCTTCCCAAACTGTGACCTCCGACGTGTGCTTTCCCGTACACAATTCCACAGTCAAATTCGATTGTGACTATCCACCAACGCATTCCCTCACGGCCAATCGCCCAGTTCTGTTCACTCCCGGTCTGACAAACGAGGATTCCAATAGTGCGCTTAGCACCGGTAGCAGTCACCACCGAAATCCAAGTGGGGCCAATAGCAACCACAGCGGTAGTACCACCACAAACAACAGCCCCAACAGCTCGGTC